ACGGCTTACCCATTTATATTGCACTATATATATATATATAAAATAACAATTTATATTCTTGTCCATACTGTTGTAGTAGCAATAATAAAAAGAATATATGATCCAATAAACACGCAGTAGAAGCGGTAACATTGCTCACATTATTGAAATAGGAATAAAATTAAAAATTAAATACACAATAAGAATGTTTTATGGTTCATGATAAAAGAAATAAAATTTGGGTCTGCGAGGAGATCTCTGACACGGGATTGTAGGATGTGTGAAACAAAGATACAATAAAGCTTGTTGGACATGTGACCATCACTTCTATATATGTGGGGGGGGGTCACACACTATCGCCCATATAAAGAATTCGGGTCAGTAGACAGTAAGATGCATATGAGGGCTCATTTACAGAGCTCCCCCCCTCCCGGGTCCTCCCAGCCGTGGTGCCTGTAGATGGCGCTGATGAGTACAGTTCACAGTCACCATTACCTGGTAGTGTTCAGTAGTCCGGACTTCCTGTGTCCTTCCCGGTTCCGTCTTCCTCGGATTTGCTGAGTCCGGTCTGTAGGAGGATCGGGATAGGTGAGGTTCCGGAATTGTCCATAGTTACCAACACCCCTCCCATAACTCCCCAAATAACTCCTTAAAGCCGCCGTTGTACACAGCCGTCCCTGCGACACTACAGCTGGGGGAGGGGGGAATTTATCAACACTGGCGCACACACAATCTGGAGCAGTTGTCCATAGCAACCAAACAAACAAACGTCTCTCTTCTTTCAGGAAAGATTACAGAGATGCCGATTGGTTGCCATGGACACCTCTCCACATACCACGTGCCCCGGGTGTGATACATCAGAGTTCACTTCTCACCACAGCTTCGGTGCAAGTTGCTGCTCCTTACCGCGCATTTCACCGGCCACGCCCCCTCGCAGGTCTCTTAGCAACCTGGCCACATGCCTAACGAGACCAGACCAACCTCTTAAAAACAGGCACACCTCCTTCGGTCGCCGACATGTAGCCACACCGCGGGAAATCGTCGGTGGTGGGCGGAGCGCTCTCTTCAGCCAATCAAGGCCATGTACGGAATACCACTCCCATCATGTATACAATGCACCCGCTGGAGGCCATGTCTGTGCGGAGGGATCGGGGAGCCGCTCGCTGGGCTCTGCCGGAACATTCCGGGGATTTCTGGATCATTTGTTATGAACATTTGTATTTGATTTCTCCCAGAATACAGAATGAGATGTCTGATCATGTGATCAGAATACGAAGCTAGGATTGGGTGCAGGCAGGATCACACGTCATGGACTGGTTGCCCATCAGGCACCATCGCCACCATTTGTTTCTCAATTGAATCCCTTGTTAAATCTCAGTTGATCTCCTGCAGCCTCTTTACAAGCACTTTCTGTCTACGTGCACTCAGCGATGCCTGCATGGTGGGTTTCCTGATGGTGACAACCGTTGGCCATGTAATGTGTGTTGGGACAGCTGCTTGTAGTCTTCATTGGCCGGAGCACAATTGGGAGATGGGGTATAGTGTGTTGTCACCCTATAACAGGAAGTGCCTGAGCAAGGGACAGAGCGTTGTCGCCATATAACAGGAAGCGCCTGAACAAGGGCAGAGCGTTGTCGCCCTATGACAGGAGACCTGAACAAGGACATAGCTGCGTACCCAACACTTCCTGTGTCCCTCTCCGATTACCTCCTTATACCTACTGCGCCCTATATCAAAATGGAGGGAACCATAGAGGAGATGGGGGGGAGGAACCATAGAGGAGATGGGGGGAGGAACCATAGATGAGGGGGGAGGAACCATAGAGGAGAAGGGCACTTCCGGAAGCTTTAGGGATATGATCGCTCTGTGACTCTAGGATCTTCACGTATGTCTTTCTTTTGTATCGGCAGAACGGGCAGAATTTCTGCATCTTGGACGATCAGCGGTTCTCGAGAGAGATTCTGCCCAAGTACTTCAAGCACAACAATTTGTCCAGCTTCATCCGCCAGCTTAACATGTGTGAGTACCAAGCGAGCGGCGTGAGAATATATACAGACGACGCACACGAGGGGGGGTTTATAAGGAAGTCCAAAGTCAATTCACTCAGCGCAGTGTCCGGGAAGCCCGGTGCCGGGTTTTTACTGCTCTGACACGGTGGATCAGTTAGAGCAGCACCAATGGAGGAGCGGCAGTGTCTACCTGTACACATCCAGTGTTGGGTTAGAACATTGGAAATTACGGGGGCCCCGTGCAGCCTACCCGACAGGGTCCCCTCCAGCGTATCACTCCACTCTCCATCCTGACTCGCCCGTCACTAGGCCGAGTGGGGCGGTTCGGGAGGAGATCTCGGCCTCCACTGACAGGTGTTTCCTCTGCGCACCACCCCGCTCGGCATCCTGACGGCTTCCCTCCTCCCGCTGGCCCAGCTTTGTGCCCCCTCCGATCCCCTGCTGCCGACACAGGCGGGGGAGAGCAACCAGGATCAGAGGGGACACAGACCGCCACCCCAGCGGGGGGAGGGAAGCTAGGAATGCAACACATTTTCGGCCCATTATGCCCATAGTACCAGTTTTGGCAAAAATTTGGGTGCATCCTTAGTTCCGAACACTCTATTGTACCAACCTCCTTTCAGGTGGTCATACATGACGGTCATACCAACCTCCTTTTCAGGTGGTCATACATGACGTTCATACCAACCTCATTTCAGGTGGTCATACATGACGGTCATACCAACATCCTTTCACGTGGTCAGACATGACGGTCATACCAACCTCCCTTCACGTGGTCATACATGACGCTCATACCAACCTCATTTCAGGTGGTCATACACGACGCTCATACCAACCTCATTTCAGGTGGTCATACATGACGCTCATACCAACCTCATTTCAGGTGGTCATACATGACGTCTGTGCTCCCTTAATGCAGTTCCAAGCTTTTAGTCCCATTCATTCTGATCTATTCATGAATCGCGTCTTCCCTACAGATGGATTCAGGAAGGTGATGAGTCTGGAGGGCGGGCTGGTGAGGTCGGATCGCGCCTCTGCCATCGAATTCCAGCACCCCTTTTTTAAGAAGGGACGAGCGGAGCTCCTGGAACATATCAAACGTAAGGTGAGGGGCATTCTATGTTGTAGGTTGTCCGGGCTGATGGAGGGAATGTGGTCCTGAAGGGCGGCTGTTTTAGGGCCTAGCGGGTGTCCGCTGTGTGCCGGCGGAGGGGCCTGCTCTTTTTTTGGACATTGCATTCCCTCCTATACATTTCAGCTTCATGAAAATGAAGGGTGACCTCAGGGAGGCTCCGGTGCATTGTGGGTAGAGTGCAGCATGTATACATTTCTCCACCATGCACTGCAAGCCACCCCATGACAATTGCTTTCCACCAACCGGGACCTGAACCCAGGTCGCCAGGATGGGAATCGCTACTAACGCTCTCCTCTCTGCCTTACCTGATACGTGTTTTAGGGCCTGTTCACATGAGTTTCAGGTCCGGATCTGCGGACTGCTACTGACTGCTACCGGTGCTACTGATGCAGTGCGTTTTTGATACGTTCCAGTCGGACTGGAGTCGGGCTGTTAGTATGTTAGCTGCAGTGCAGTGCGTTTTTGACGCGTTTGCGTTTCCTGACCGTACAAAATGTGACATGCAGTATTTTTCTGTCGTAAGCTGCACGGACTGCGCACGTGAGAACTGTAGCCCATAAAACACATAGGGATGCATTGTGAGCGCAGGAGCATACGGATCAGGTCAGCACAGAAAACGGACGTCGTGTGAACAGCGCCTATAGAAAACACTTGTCTGCTGTGTGCCCTTCAGTGACTGGCTGGAAAATGCTGGTTGTGGCACAGAGAGGAAACTAGTGAACGGGCAAGTTCACTTTATCATTTAAGATATTGACAGGACCCCACTACCCCTCCCAGCCCCCGCTGCACATACCTGTGTGATTTCCCCCCACTAGCCCCTGCTTTTTCCTGTGTACGAGCCTCGCACTGCAGTATGTGATTAATGCTTGCACATGGCGTGCTCTGATTGATCAGCACTGTCACATGATCATGCTGACCAATGAGAAGCACCTCCTGAGTCGAGGGCTAGGTCCCAGAAGTAAGAAGGGCATCTAATTTGTCAGCTGCGTGGGGGTCCTCGTGCGGGGCTGCGTGGGGGTCCTCGTGCGGAGCTGCGCGGGGTCCACGTGCGGAGCTGCATTCAGAATCTGGACGCAGCCTGATGACATCTTGTGGGACCTGGCAGGCAGTGTCAAAGACAGCTACTGCCAGGTCCCTGGAAGGCTGCTTCAGGGCCCCACAAGCGCAGGATCTGAGGCAGCTGATCCGCTTTAAAAATTTAAAGGGCAAGTATCGGCCTTCAGTATCGGGGCATTTTCACAAGTACTCGTATTGGCCCCGATACATCCCTAATTATGCTCATTACATACTGCGGGGCGGTGACCGAACGATGGCTGGCAGGGGGTCCCACAGGTATGTGCATTAGGGGACAACAGAAGTGGCGGGTCGGCAACTTAATTTTCTCTCATATTGTGAGAAAGTGAACTCCTCCTTTAAAGCTAAACTCCAAGCAAATGGCTAAACACAGAAATTAAATCTTTATATGGAAGCAGTTCCCCCCACCCCAAGGGATTCTGTGTTTCTCCATCTGCCTGGAGTTCAGGGCTCATTCAGACAGGCGTGCGCTCCATATGGACGTAATGAGACCCGATCCTGGAAGGGACAGGTGCGGCCTGTCATTGCCTGCAGCAGCCTGTTCTTCCCTATTGGAGGACGCAGCTACAAGCAATTACAGGCAGTCACAGGCACAGCTGACTCTGCACATCCGTGCGGGTCCAGGTGTCTGCAATTGGACGTACACTGTCTGGGGAAGAACAGACAATGACACGCAGCACCTGTCCCTTCCAGAATCGGGTGTGCACGCCCATCTGAATGAGCCCCAAAGCAACATCTCGGGAGGAACGCAAGCTGGGACTTTTTTCCTGCTTGGGTACACTGGGTGTTCTTTTGTATTTAAAAGTAGGTAGGTGGAGGGGTGCTGTAAGTAGGTGGCCCTCCCATTGGTGTGGCAGGCCCACTTTAAACATTGAAATGGTAAATAAAATCATAATTTCCTTTTTTAATTTGCAGATTTCCACATCGGTAAGATCCGAAGACCCGCACCTATCTCCGGAAGAACTGCAAAAGGTCTTTTTTGAGCTACAAGAACTAAAAGATGGTCAAAACAATATGGACGCCAAATTGGAAAACATGAGGAGGTACGTCGGCAATTTCAGTCCAGGAGAGGAAGCTGTGCAAGACTGAAGGGGAAGGTTGGAGGTCAGATTTAAGAACAAGACTTCGTTGGAGTAATGTGGAGCAAGGGTAGCCAAACTCCGGCCCTCCACCTGTGTTGAAACTACAAATCCTATGATTCATATCTCTCTGGGAGTCGTGGCTGTGAGAATCTTGCAATGCCTCATGGGATTTGTAGTTCTACCACAGCTGGAGGGCCGGAGTTTGGCTACCCATGATGTAGAGACTAGGGATGGACGATCCCGGTTTTTCGGTACCGATATTTTTTTTCCACGGTACTCGCCGACACAGATACCGGAAGTCCCATTAAGGAAGCCAGGTGGTGTGTAATGACTCCAGGAAGCCGTCACCAGGTGACGAGGAAGCATGGAGTCGGGTTTCTGGACAATTGGGAAGCCAGGGGACGGGTAATGACTTGCCACCTGACTTTCTGATTGGCCAGTTTACCGACCAATCAGGAAACTGAGCGGTGAGTCATTACACGACGCCAGGCTTCTTGATTGGCCAGGAAGCCACCTCCTTGGTGATGAGGTAGCAGGGAGCCAGCTTCCTGGCCAATCGGGAAGCCAGCCAGCGTTCAATGACTCACCGCCCAGCTTCCTGTTGCTGGAAGAGTCTGTATTGGCATAAGCATCGGGAGCATTTGGGAGAGTACAAGTACTCTCCCAAATACTCGGTATCGGCACTGATGCTAGTATCGGTATATGTGCATCCCTTGTAGAGACACATTGAAGGGAATTTATCAAAACTGGAGCAGCCGTGCATGGCAACCAATCAGCTTCTCTCTTTCATTTTCAAATTTTAACTGAACAAATTGAAGAGAGAAGCTGATTGGCTGCCATGCACAGCTGCTCCAGATATTGTCTGGTCCAGTTTTGATCAATTCCCCCCACTGCAGTTTGTGAGAACAGTGTCTTCCATTGAGTAAACAGCCATTGCTGGGACATAATGTACACTATGGGGTGAAAGGTTTGTGAAAACCTGACCATCGCACCTCCTATGAGCTTGTTGGGTTGGCCATCCCATTCCAAAACCATGGCCATTAATAAAGGGATGGAAAGGTTCTTATGGAATTGAGGAGCCAGTCTGTCCAACCCAGGAGCCAGCAGGATTTTCTTAGATCTCTCTCTTGACCACAACTAGAAAAACAACTCAAATGTTAGGGGGCCAGGTGTAATTTTTAAGGTGCATTGGCTCCTGGGATCTGCCCAGCCCTACAGTAACTTACCTCCTTTGTGGCTGTAACACTCTCTACTCTTCTAAAGAAGACTTTCTACAAGATTTTGGAGGATGTCTGTGGAAATTTGTTGCCCTTGGTGAGGTCAGGTAATTGTCGTTGTATGGGAAGACCTGACTTCAGTTCATCCCCATAGGTGTTCAGTAGGGTTGAGGTCCGGGCTCTGTGCAGGATACAAGTTCCTCCACACCAAACTGCTCACACCATGTCTTTATGGAGCTGGCTTTGTAGACCTCCTATTGCAAAACCATGGCCATTAATATGGTGTTGGCCCCCCTTTGTGCCTATAAAAGTCTCCACTCTTATGGGAAGGCTTTCCACTAGATGTTGGAGGGTGTCTGTGGAAATTTTGGGCCATTTGTGAGGTCGGGTACTCATGTAGGAGAGAGAAGACCTGGCTCCCGATTCATTCCAATTCATCCCAGAGGTGGTTTTCCCCAAGCTGGTCACACCATGTCTTTATGGAGCTGGCTTTGGACACAGGGGACAGTCATGGTGGAACAGAAAAGGGTCTTCACCAAACTGTTACCACAAGTCTGGAAGAGCACAATTGTCTAGCATGTCATGCTATGGTGTAGGATTCACAGGAGCTTCACTGAGAACACCTGAACTCAACCATTTTGAGGGTTTACAATTCATCCCAAAGGTGTTCATTAGGGTTGTGGTCATTGCTCTGTGCAGGACACTCGAGTTCCTCCACACCAAACAGGTCACACCATGGCATTATGGAGCTTGCTTTATCCCATTGGGGAAATTTCCCTTCTCTTTGTATCCTGTAAATGCAATAGGAAGTGAGAAGAGATCTCTCCAAAGCAAGGAAAGTCTCCACTAATTTGTCCCCATTGATTTTTGACTTTATTATCACGTTAACCCTTTGCAGTGCAGGGGAAGCCCCACTAGGGCAGTGGTTCTCAACCTTTCTAGGGCTGGGACCCCTTGGTAACATTTGCCAGGTTGTGGTGACCCCAATGGTAAAATTTACTAATGCACCAATACTAGTATCTGTGTGGGCTCTCTGGTGGCCAGTGTGGGCTCTCTGGTGGCCAGTGTGGGCTCTCTGGTGGCCAGTGTGGGCTCTGTGTTGGTCATTGCGAGCTCTGTGGTGGCCAGTGTGAGCTCTGTGGGGCTCTTTGGTGGTCAAGCCGGAATTCAACTCCCCTCACTCCCGCCCGCTCCCCTCTCTTTGATCCTCCTCGGCTGCCGGTGCTGCAGCGCCATCTAGCGGTGCGGCCGGAGAACTGACACTGCTGCTCCTAGGAGGTGGCTAAAGAGCCTCTCTCACCTAGCGCAGCACAAAGCATGGGGTGACCTCCCTCAACAATAAGTTGTGACCCACTTTTGGGTCGCGACCCACAGGTTGAGAACCACTGCACTAGAGGGTAGCAAAGGGAGATTTATTCTTTTGTATCTGCGTGACTTTTCGCACAAAAAGTCTCAACATCTGCTCCTAATAACCCATCAGAAAATGAGTTTGGTAGTATTTGGGGCAATAGAGGTGTGCAGTATTGTGCCAAGAGGACGATGGCGCAAGCCAATTACACATTCTACTATGCGCCAATTGAACTCGATGCGATGCACCAACATAAGATGTCACGTGCGGTGGGGGACACACGACATGTGACCATGTGACTTTCCTACCCGATAACTTTTTGTTTTTTCCTTTTTAGATCCTTCAGTTCATTTTGAGCCTAATGCGAGGAAATATTGTCATGGGGCCCCCCAAAAAAAGGTAATTGTACAGTACTGATTTCCATCATGTAAACCTGAAAGAACTGACATGATTGGGGGATTGCAGAGGTTAAGGATCCTCCGTTCTGTGGAAGAACCAGACGAGCAGTCTTTAGGTTGAGGTTTTTTTTTATAATGAACGGGTCTCGTGTGCTTGAACAGTGAAAACCTCACATCATGACCCAATGTGGTACTGGAGGACCATAGTTAAGAAACCCTTTTTATCCAGTTTTTACTTGGGGAGGAGCGTCCCCTTTACACTGGAGGTAAGAGCAGAAGGGCCTGCTTACATTGGGGACCAGTAGAGAAGGGTCCTCTTATCTAGGTGATCAGCGGAGAAGGGCCCTCTTACATGGGTGGTCAGTGGGAGATGGGCCTCCCTTAAGTCGGTGGGAGAGGGGGTCCCTTTTTACACTGTAGGTTAGAGAAGAAGGGCCTGCTTACTTTGGGGACCAGTAGAGAAGGGCCCTCCTACCTGGGTGGTTAGTTGGAAACTGACCCCATTAGCTGAGTGGCCGGCGGGAGAAGAAGGGCCCCCCTTGCCTGGTTGGCCGGCGGGAGAAGAAGGGCCCCCCTTGCCTGGTTGGCCGGCGGGAGGAGAAGGGCCCCCCTTGCCTGGTTGTGATAAAAGTGCTTCTTGTAAACAACGTCTGATAACAATCACCATCATGCGTTTCCCTGTTTTAAAGAACTCGCTCTGATCAAATCTTTCGGAAATGTTTAGAACTTTTAAAGTTCTCTCCAAAAATGAGAAGCTTTATATTGCAAGGTTGCCATAAAGCCTGGCCATGCACGATATGCTCCTCGTGATTACCCTTCTTGCTGCCACGTCCATGAATACTACACGACTTCTGTGCCAGACCGGCATCACTGGTCAGCCCCCAAGTGTTACCGATGCTCGGGAAGCTGCGCCACAATGCTCGCCTTTAATCCGGCGGTGCTGTCCCCTGCCACTTCTTTGCCACTAGTTGTTAGCAGTCCTCTGGGTTGAATGATGGCCGGAGGTAATCCTCTGAGCCCTCAGGGGGGTTGTCATAGTGCCAGCCTGGGTTCAAAGGATCACTGAACTGAAATGGCGATACATGAGCACTACAAGGATCATCCATGGTCTCTACTGGAGGGAAGGAGGAAAGACCTTATCACTTGACTTGGTGTCTTCAGATCCCCCCTCTGCCCCATATACCTACCGGGACCAAAGTTGTACACTTTGCCCTTCCAGGAACGCGTGAGCATATGACTTGCTCCCCCTCATCCATGTGACCGCACTAGGTACCTTGTGATTGGTCCAGCCCCGCCACATGGGGCCAGTAAAGATGTCCATAGCCCTGTGTAAGCTCTGACAAGTCCGTTTGCTGCTTCCTCAGGGCTTTCTGTACCCTGGTCTCAGTGGGTTGGAGGAAGGAAAGGCAAGTACATGCTGCTGGGGAAGAGGAACAGTTTGCATGAGCACTTTCAGGTGGCAGACCAGTGCCTTGTGAACCTGGTTGCTGTACATTCTACAGTCACCGTCTTCATATTGTCCTTTTTAAACTCAAAACCAAAAATATAATATATTGTAACTCTCCAGTCCTTAGCTAAGCAGCTGCATTTGTTTTTCTTTATCTTCACCTGCGAACCAGTAACACGCTTCCTGTCCTGAAGTGACAACCCCTTAATTTTATCAAGACAGCAGGAACAAGATAGGACTACGAAACCCTTCCCTTCTATTGCCCGTGGCGTCAAATTGTGTGATTCTGTAGTCCTAGGGGTAGCGTAAAACAATGTAAGTAATAAGAGTGCAGAACCCTTCCCTTCTCCTATTGCCCATGACATCGAAGGGTGTGATTCTGTAGTCCTCAGGATAGTTTAAAACAAAGTAGCTAATAGTAGTGCAGCACAGGCAGGGGCGTCCCGAGGCTGGGTGACACCCGGAGCGGTAACCGATTGTCACCCTGCTGTGACGTCACTGCGCGTGACATCACCACGCGCATACGCGATGACGTCATTGCGCAGTACTCTGATACCTGCCGACGGCCATCTTGGTGATGGACGCCGACAGAGAGAGGAGGGGACAGTCACCCGGCGTGATAAGGTATGCCGGCGGGTCCCCTCCTCTCTCCTGATTCTTTTGAGAGGGGGGTGACACCAAAATGACTGTCACCCCCCTTGTGACACCATTGAGCACAGGTAGACGGCACAGGAAGTTATCTGATCCCTGGATTTCTGGCAGAATCAACATTTATGGAGCAGATAAAGGAAGTTCATTGTTTGGGTTTATATGCCCTTTAAGGTAATCTTGTTAACAGAAATGTTGGCAGTAACCCTTTATTAAATTAACAAATGAAAACGATCTACAAACTTCTCAGTGATATCGTCTTGTTTGTATTTTGGGTTCCTCAGGTTCGCCTTTCTTCGCAGCACTCTGGAGACCAGACTCTACAAATCCATGAGATTTTCAGCCCTGGAGAAGGCACGTCGGGACCGACCACACAAGATGCGGAGCAAACGCAGATCTTCACAGCCCAGCCAGCGATACCCATCGCAGCAGAAGTCACCGAGTATGTGAGGCTTTGTTTTATATCCGTCATGGAACAAGCAGATGAGGGAATTAATGTCACCCCGGCTCTAGCAAATCTTAAATTACCGCCACCCTGTCAATCTCAAGCTTTTTCTGCATGCCCCCACTGAAAGCAATTGAACATCTTCCACCCATACACCCCTGTTGGATCAGTCATCTATAATGGGCAATAGAAACAAAATGGGACACATTTTTGCTGTATTAAAGTGACATAACATGAGCAGCGACTGCATGCATAGACCACAGCTGAAGGAACATGCATGCAGAAAATGCAGTTCTAGTCCGTCCCTACATATAATTGCCCCAACAGCAGCCACCATATCTGAAGGAATCTGTGGCTCTCCAGCTGTGCTGAGACTACAAACCACATCATGCTTCTGCCTCTGGGAGTCATGCCTGTGGCTTGCAATGCCTCATGGGATTTGTAGTTTCAGCACAGCTGGAGAGCCAAGGTTGCCTACCCCTGCCCTAGGGCAACTGCGGTGGCACTTCACACTTTGAGAAGAGGTGTACTACCCGTCCCACCGCCCACAGCTCCAATCTTTGCCCTTTTAAGAGTTACACAGGCCGATGAATGTTCAGCATCCAACACTTCTGGGTGCATCAGATGCCGTCCCCACCTACTGCAGAAATTTGGTTTCATCTCTTGGAAGCTCCGCCACTACTATGTCCCCGCAGAGTTATGAGTGGGTTGAACCACATTGCTGTATCGGGGGGGGAAATACAAAGCAGGTCATGATGGTTAAACCCCTATTGGGGAGAAACGTTGGATGAAGCGGAGCTCTGGCGGCGGGCGATGGGCCTTAGTCCGGCTTTGTCAGTTTTGTGCTACTTGCAATAAAGTTTTTGTTGGATAGCGAGAAAAAAAAAAAAGCTGTAGTGTAGCCTGTTTGTACCTTTTCTTAGCTATGCAATTCCTCGATCATCCTCTAATCGTCCTTCCAGCACTGGGAGTTATTGGCACCGTGCACCCACCACTCAAGCGTTAGCCAGTTCCTTTGGGAAACTGGAAAACTTACATTTCTTTCTTCTTTGCAGTGACTCGGTGCAGGAGGTTATCATTGATGATTCAGTTCTGCAGCTGCAGTCCTTGGCTGAGCAAACGCTGGTCCCCAGCAGCTCTACAGGAGAAGAGGAGCTAGCACTGGACGTAGTGCCACCGAACTCCGCTGAGGACGACGATAGTGACATCAACTCTATTCTGAATGAGAACAGTGCAGCCGGCGACTACGATTTGTTATACCGGTAAGTAGGACATCATGTTTTAATGTGACGCGAAACTTGGGAGATAAAACCCTAAAAATACATTCAAGTACCTTTTTTAAATATGAACAAAGATGGATCTTATTTGTGTATCACTCGGGTGTAGATCCTCCAATCATCTCTGAATTGGTGCTGACACTGTCCTTCCTTCTGGAGGGGGGCTACTTGTGTCCCCATGGTCCGTGTGTGTGTTGTAAAGTAGTCATGTATTTGAATGTATTTGGAAGGTTTAACTCCAGAGTTTAGCTTACTAATTGGAGCCGTGGCTACTTTATAACACACACAGAGGGACCGTGGGGAAATGGTTTGTATCACTATCGCACAACTAATGATCCTGACTAATGATTCCCAATCATCCCGAAACTCAGTTTTAAAATGAACCGTTGCTGCAATAAATCAATTTTTAATGTGAACAATTCCCAACTCATGACACAACCTTTATTACTTGGCAAGCAATCCTCTGCATCCTGAGTGTGGGATGACGGCAGCAGGGATCAGCATGCAATCTATATATTGATAGATAATCCACAGCACACGGAGGGACCACAGCAAGTGATCAGCCAGCAATGCCCATATCGGCTTGTAGCAGGAATTGAGCCCAGGTAATGACATTATATACATCACATTCCTGGATCAGCATGCAAGGTCATCCAATAGTCTACAGCGCGTGGAAAGGACACCGCAGGGATCAACAATCCATCTCTATAGTCATCCTTCTCAGCACATGGAGGGACGTGAAAGCAGCAAGCAATATCCTTGTTAGCTTGTAATGAGGATTGGGCTCGGGTAATAAATCTATACGTCAAAGTCCCGGATTGCATCCGGAATCATTCATCACGAGCCCCATAAAATTGAAGTCCAAGGAAAAAAAGATATATATTGAAATACAATTAAATAAAAAGAAGTCCATATACTATCGAACTGTCCATTGCGGGTGCTCCAAAACACTGCTTTACTGGCTTGGCCCCTCCCTAGCGGCTAATATAATTTGCATCTTGACAGGGGAGGGGGTCAGGGACAAGGGAAGGCAAAATATAAGTGGGTTGAGCTTAAGCCAGAGGTGCCACCTGGTGGCATGTCCTGGCATGTGCATGCGCGTAATGATGTCATGTGCACTCCACTGCCGGCTGCCATCTTGGTGATGGACCCTATTAAAGAGAGAGGAGGCGACGTTATCTGCAGGGGCAAAGGAAAGGTATGCCGCCGGGTCGCCTCCGCACTCTTTGTAACGGTTTTATTACCAGTTGATCCTGCCAGGAATGAGGAAGCAGGAGGGCAATGCATACGTCCCTCTTCTCCCAGGTGAGGAATGAGGAAGCAGGAGGGCAATGCATACGTCCCTCCTCTCCTAGGTGAGGAAGCAGGAGGGCAATGCATATGTCCCTCCTCTCCTAGGTGAGGAATGAGGCAGCAGGACGGCAATGCATACGTCCCTCAGATGAGGAAGCAGGAAGGCAATGCATATATCCCTCCTCTCCTAGGTGAGGAAGCAGGAGGGCAATGCATACGTCCCCCTCTCCTAGTTGAGGAAGCAGGAGGGCAATGCATACGTCCCTCTTCTCCTAGGTGAGGGATGAGGAAGCAGGAGGGCAATGCATACGTCCCTCAGATGAGGAAGCAGGAATGCAATGCATATATCCCTCCTCTCCTAGGTGAGGAAGCAGATGGGAGTTATGTCTGTAACTGTCAGTCTTGCAATGCCTCATGGGACTTGTAGTTCCACAACAGCTGGAGTTGCCCACCCCTGGATTGGAATCTCTTCAGAGGTCTGAACCATTGCTTTTTAAATTGGCGTGAGCTCTGCTGATTGGAGAGCTCTAGGTCTGGGGGGGCGCGGGGGGGGGTGCAGTCAGACCTCTGTAGCACACAAGAAGGGGATAATATTTTGTGTTTTGTTTTATTCTGCAGGCAAGCAGCTGATGCAGTACACCGGAAACCCTGTGCTTTCCCTGTTCGATCTCGCCTCCAGCGACTACGGAGCAGTCGCGTTGGATCCGGCAAATTTGCTGACCGCAATGGGAGACGACGCGTACGCAGGCAGTTCATCAGCGCAGAACGACAGCGTTCCGGGATGTAGCTCCAGCAAGGAACCGGACCTGCTGGTGGAAGATTTCGGCGGCCCTCAGGAGGTCTCACCTTCCGTCCTCGGCCCCGTTAACAATCTCATCGACGAGGCCAAAGAATCCGAGACGCTTGGAGTGTAGGGACGCCCTCTCGCGTGTTTTGTGTCAAATGGGTGAACGAAGAGCGATTTTGGATACGGAGTCTTCCCCACTCAGTGCCGGTATATTATGCAATAAGGTTTCTTCAAGGGAAACATTGTATCTAATCATTGTTACTGCTCCAAAGAACAAACCATGACTGGTCTAGGAAGACTTTGTTTGCTCTCCCCTACGTGTCATGTGTCCCACTCCACACCCCAGAACTGTCCTCAACTTCCTCCCGTCCTTTTTCTAGGCAAATCGCTGTTGATCCTGTCAGAAATCCAATGATCTGATAACTTCCTGTGCGCTCTGACTGTTCTGTTGTTCTAAGTTCGCTCTGTGGACTACAAATCTCCTTCCCTCTGCTATCGGCATGAGGAAAGGGTGAAATGTCATGTTGCCTTCATAGATACAGTATAGTGAGTGAGCGTTGTCACCCAAGGACAGGAAGTGCCTTAGTGGCAGGATCACCATATAAGAAATCTTAATGTAGCCACCACATCTAAGTACTGGTGAGCGGAGATGTAGGGCTGCAACAACTAATCGATATGAGAATAGTTGTCAACTATTCTCATTACCGATTAGTCGGTTGTGAGGGGAGGAAGAGTTTTTTGTTTTTTTTAATACAACTAGTGGATTAATCGAAAAAATAATTGGGCAACTAATCGAATATGAAAAAAATCGTTGGCTGCAGCCCTACTGATATGATATATTCATATTTTTTGTTCTTGGGTGTAGGTTTCCAATGCCAAGAAAACAGGTGACTCTTGTAACCACATAACCATTATGAACCTCATGTACTTTAAGTGGCTAATATAAGCTGCTGCTGCAAACGTGAGCTTGATATCATTCTCATCAGCCAGCTCCCGGTTGTTCACTGAATGTGATTCGGGCAGCCATAGAGCCACCCCATCGCTTTTACATGGCTGCGTGTGGGCACACCAACCCCTTCCAGGGACCATGGTAAATAGTGTCAGGATGGGGAGCAGATCAGAGAACTTCCGTTGATCACTGAAGCTGGAAGCACTGAGCTCTTGGCACTTCCTGCTTCAGGGCTGTCCGACCCGGCTACGCAGCCTATCCAGCACAATCCTGTGTTTGATGGGCAATAGTGGAGGGCAGGAGAGACTTTAGAGATCTAATAGGCCCCTGACGTCTCCATACAGAGAACCTGTTATTTGCTCATATGGCTTGTTTACCCCGTGTGATAGCAATAAAGTTAACTGAAGTAAAAAAAATACACTTTTTAAAGCATCCCTATCGCCCCACACACATGCAAACGTACACATGTATGTAAACAGCGATTTTAGTTGCATCTGTAACTTTTGCTCGAACATACATGACTGTAACCTTGTTTTGATGACATGTCAGTTAATAAACGAATTTAAAAAAAAAAAAAACTATGGGAAAATAAATAATATAAATGTAAAAAAGTATGTGTGTATATTTTTTTGCTTATTGTATGGTTCTGAGACACTGGGGGAAAAAAATCTACCAACCAAGTAAAAATAAACATAAAATGTGGCAGCACCCGGGAGAGTCGGACCTCCGCTCTCACACAGAACCTTCAGGGATAATTGATAGAATGTGGCAGCACCCGGGAGAGTCGGACCTCCGCTCTCACACAGAACCTTCAGGTATAATTGATAGAATGTGGCAGCACCCGGGAGAGTTGGACCTCCACTCTCACACAGTCTTCACTGATGATTGATTGATATAATGTGGTAGCACCCGGGAGAGTCGGACCTGCGCTCTCACACAGAACCTTCAGGCATGATCGATAGAATGTGGCAGCACCCGGGAGAGTCGGACCTCCACCCTCACACAGAGCCTTCAGTGATGATTGATATAATGTGGCAGCACCTGGGAGAGTCGGACCTCCGCTCTCTCACACAGTCTTCAGCGATCCGATATCAGGTTTTCCAGTGTAGTCGGAAGTTCCCGTATTTCGTCTCTAGATCAGAACGCCGCAGCTCCCAATACATTCGTTTTCAGAAGGTTTCTCTCAGCAGGTCATGTGATCGTGATTGCACTATTTTGGCTTTCCCCATTTCTGTAAGAAATATGATTGGAAGTGAAATGTAAATGTAGCGTTAGGTAAGAGTTCCTCCATCCCCGGTGTATGTGTAATGACTGTAAAGTGACCACAGTACAGGAAGTGGGAAGGTCGCGGTATTTTACTGGTGTTACTGGGGTTCCATTTCAGTGCTTCGCAATCTTTGCAGGTCAGGGGGTCAAGCCACATTTTTGGCTGATGCAGCAAAGCTCGTCTTCCCTGGACATGTGCGCCAACGTAAAATATAAAGCAGATATTTTTAGAAACATACACAGTAAGCGTTCACGTGTTTTAAAGGTCATTTTTAAACATTTTAATTGTGCACTTTTCTTTAAGTTAATCGCTGTTGGCCCTGCCATTAGGGCCCTCGCTCAAGCACTTCCTGTTATAGGGTGTCAACACACTGTCCCTGTCTCCCAATTGTGCTTTTGTGTTGTCACACAGGCCTTCCAGTGGAGACTACAAGTGGCTGTTTAATCGCATATTACACAGACATTGTCCACTGTTGTCACTATCGGGAAATCCCTCCTGCAGGCCCCACCCACTACAGGCTGCCTGCAGAAAAATACAGGAGGGGGCAAACATAATACCAGTCATCCTGCACAAGGAGAGAGAGCAGCAGTGAGTGGTCTTTATTACAAGAAGGGGCGGAGACAAGACCAGTCACCCTGCACAAGGAGAGAGAGCTACAGTGAGCGATCTTTAATATCGGAGGGGGTGGATACAAGACCAGTCACACTTTTACAAGGGGAGAGCAGCAGCAGTAAGCGGTCTTTATTACAAGAAGGGGCGGAGACAAGACCAGTCACCCTGCACAAGGGAAGAGAGCAGTGACCGGTCTTCTTTACAGGAGGGGGCGGAGACGAGACCAGTCACCCTGTACAAGGAGAGAGAGCTACAGTGACCGGTCTTTATTACAGGAGGGGGCGGAGACGAGACCAGTCACCCCGTACAAGGAGAGAGAGCTACAGTGACCGGTCTTTATTACAGGAGGGGGCGGAGGCAAGACCAGTCACCCTGCACAAGGAGAGAGCAACAGTGACCGTTCTTTATTACATTAGGGGGTGGAGACAAGACCAGTCATCCTGCGCAGGGGAAGAGAGCAGCAGTGACAGGTCTTTATTACAGGAGGGGGCGGAGGCAAGACCAGTCACCCTGCAGAAGGCGATAGAGCAGCACTAAGTGGTCTTATTGGGTGTACATACATTTCAATTTAACACATAAATGGTGGATTAACTGCATGGTGTGGTGAAGATAAATGTAAAATATACAAGAGATACGGTACATATTATCACTCTGATACATTCTTACAACAAATACATCTGCCTTACTTTGCTTTCATATACACTATACGGCCAAACGTAACTGGACCCCTTCCAAATGATGGCGCTCAGGTGTCTCCAGTGAAGGTTCTGCTAATATTCCATCATACAAAGACATTGTAGACAATTGGGCCCTTCCGGCCTTGTGGTCACAGTTTGGTGAAGACCCTTTTCTGTTCCACCATCACTGTCCCCTGTGTACAAAGCCAGCTCCATAAAGACATGGGGGGTGGGGGGGGCTGAGAACTCCATATTAATGACCATGCTGGGTGGAGGGATTCCTTGTTAATGTTTATGTTGGGGGGCGCTACTCTATATTAATCAATAAATTAATGACCATGGTTTTGGAATTGGATGTCTATCAAGTTCATATACACTATATTGCCAAAAGTATTTGGACCCCTCTCCAAATCACTGGATTCAGATGTTCCAATCACCTACATGGCCGCAGGTGTATAAAATCACGCACCTCGGCATGCAGACGCTTCTACAAACATTTGTGGAAGAATGGGTCGCTCTCAGGAGCTCAGTGACTACAAGCGTGGTACCGTGATAGGTTGTCACCTGTGCAAAAAGTCCATCCGTGACATTTCCTGGCTACTAAATATTCCGCGGTCACCTGTTACTGGTATTATAACAAAGTGGAAGCAACTGGGAACAACAGCAACTCAGCCAGGAAGTGGTCGGCCACGTAACATGACAGAGCGGGGTCAGCGCATGCTGAAGCGCGCAGTGCGCAGAAGTCGCCAACTGTCTGCAGAGTCAATAGCTACAGACCTCCAAACTTCGTGTGGCCTTCAGATTGGCACAACAACAGTGCGTAGAGAGCTTCATGGAATGGGTTTCCATGGCCGAGCAGCTCCATCCAAGCCGCACATCCCCAAGTGCAATGCAAAGCGTGGGATGCCGTGGTGTAAAGCACGCCGCCACTGGACTCTAGAGAAGTGGAGACGTGTTCTCTGGAGTGACCAATCACGCTTCTCTGTCTGGCAATCCGATGGACGTGTCTGGGTTTGGCGGTTGCCAGGAGAACGGTACTTGCCAGACTGCATTGTGCCAAGTGTAAAGTTTGGTGGAGGGGGGATTATGGTGTGGGGTTGTTTCTCAGGGGTTGGGCTTGGCCCCTTAGCTCCAGTGAAGGGAACTCTTAAGGCATCAGCACACCAAGACATTTTGGACAATTTCATGCTCCCAACTTTGTGGGAACAGTTTGGGGATGGCCCCTTCCTGTTCCAACATGACTGCGCACCAGTGCACAAAGCAAGGTCCATAAAGACATGGATGAGCGAGTTTGGGGTGGAGGAACTTGACTGGCCTGCACAGAGTCCTGACCTCAACCCCATAGAACACCTTTGGGATGAATTAGAGCGGAGACTGCGAGCCCCTCCCCCAACATCAGTACCTGACCTCACAAATGGTCCAACATTCCCATAGACACACTCCTAAACCTTGTGGACGCCTTCCCATGGCCATTAATATTGAGTTGCCCCCACATGTGACTATTAGGCCAGAAGTTTGTGGACACCTAAACATCACACCTTTATGTTTTTATTGGACATCCCATTCCAAAATCATAGCCATTGATATGGGGGTGCCCCCAGTTGTTTTACTTGACAAGGTTC